GATGTAAAGGTTCCACTTGTATTTGTCAAAGGGAGGCTGATTGGTGGAGCTGATGAGATTGTGAAGTTGGAAGAGGAAGGGAAGCTTGGGGTTTTGTTTGATGGGATTCCAACGGCACTTGTCGGGTGCCAGGGATGTGCTGGGATGAGGTTTGTGATGTGCATGGAATGCAATGGAAGCTGCAAGGTCTTGGATGAGGGCCAACAGAAGATGGTGAAATGTGGTGAGTGCAATGAAAATGGTTTAATTCATTGCCCCATTTGTTGCTAATGTAGCTGCATTGACATTTGAACATCTGAGTATTTGTTCTTGGATTCTTGGATTTGTTTGAGATTTTGGGTTTTATACTAATCTTCGGTTTCTGAAGGCAGAAGCAGAACACAGATTTTTAATTTAAGAAGCAGCTTTTTTAACTTTGGGAAGTGGGGTTCTAAAGTGGGTTTTAGGCCCCCTTCTGCTGGCCTTGTAATTCTAGATTGCTTTTTCTCATCCTGATTAGTTTCTTTTTACACGCATGTTTTTGGAAGTTCGAATTTTTTTATGTAAGTATGCTCGTTTTGGCATGCAACTTCTACTGAATTAAAATTGACATGCAATATGTTCTTCTCATACTCTTTAGCTTTTCAACTCTTAGTATAATGGTAAACAATTGCCTTTTGTTGAGCTTCCAGAACACTGAAAATGGAAAATAAATTCACTTAAATAATACTAATTAGGGTTTGAATATCTATGAATATGAACACTTACCTGCCCACAACTGAGGCAATCAGAAGATGGTTATGAGTTTCGACAATTTCGGATTTTGGATATGAGTGAGAAGCCCATGTAAACAATGTAATGCTGCAAAAATTATCACAAATATGTTTTTATAAATTAGTCTCGATACGAATCGACATCAAATTTATCCTTTTCGCTAAATATTTTTTTTCCGCAAAATTTTGGTTAATTATAATTATATTAGATAACAACTCCCGCCAAAAGGAAAATATGGATGACAACAAACTGTTATAAATAAATAATAATTAAAAAATTGTTTATAGAAGATTTACCAATCATAACTCTTCAAAACAAAACCTTCTCCCTCATGAAGTATTACTGGTAAATTAAACTTGCACACGGCCCAGCCATCCAATCCGGTCTGGTCTTGTGTTTTCTCTCATAACTAGGTTCTAAATTTTTTTTTTCCGCAAAATTTTGGTTAATTATAATTATATTAGATAACAACTCCCGCCAAAAGGAAAATATGGATGACAACAAACTGTTATAAATAAATAAGAATTAAAAAATTGTTTATAGAAGATTTACCAATCAGAACTCTTCAAAAGAAAACCTTCTCCCTCATGAAGTATTACTGGTAAATTAAACTTGCACACGGCCCAACCATCCAATCCGGTCCGGTCTTGTGTTTTCTCTCATAACTAGGATCTGGGCTCAGTCTCTTAAGTTGGGCCCAGTCTGACTAGGTCGTTTCTTTTTTTGTGTGGGTATTTTAAACGTAATTTTTTTTTTTTCCATTGTGGAAGCATAAGAATAAATATATTAGAGCATTTTCAATCATATTTCTTATTTATAAGTTAAATTTTAATTAAATATTTAAAAGTTATTTTAAGAGTTTTTTATAAACTTTCTACCTAAAGTTATTTTAAGAGTTCTTTTATAAAATTTCTACTCCATCCCTGCTTTAAATATGCTCTTAATTTTGTTCATCAAATTGAGAAAAAAAAAATTCAATATAATTGGCTCATCGACATGTGACATTCCTAATAAGTTTCTTCGCCAAATTATGTGTATATATCTTACTTATTTCATTACTTAAAAAAAATCAAATTTTAATTATAAAAAATTTGTAGCTCAAATAATTAAGATTTCTGTGCTCAAAGTTCAAAGTTAAATTTTCCCTTTCCGTCTCTCGCAATATAAAAAGATTAAAAAAAATTAGTTTCACTCGCGATAGTAAATTCTTGTACGTAGGACTAACAGTCAAAACCACGGAGACAAATTGCACCGCACACAGTAACATGGCATGGGGACGACTCGGTGTTTATATTGAATTTTGTTTCCCTGGAAAAATCTCCGACCATCTTTCTGAGGCATAACCAATAGAAAACTGACACGTGATATAAATGAATTCTCTTTCTATAACGATGGTGGTGTTGTCTCTTGTTAAGTTGGGGCTTCATTGTGAAAGTATGGACCCGGATACAGCTGATCCACCTTGACTGATCAACTCACACGTGTTGTATAATTTGCAAGTAGCGACCAGAGTGATATAACCTCCGTCTGTGCTCTCTCAAAGAGTTTCTCTCTCTCTCTCTCTCTCTCTGTCTCTGTAAACGGCAGCTTCAGTTGGTTCACTATGGCCGGGAGAAAGAGGAAGCTGAAATCGTAAGATTTGATTTCTGTTGCTTACTAAATTTTTTTTGTAATTTACATATTTCTATTTGTTGTTTTTACAATATGGCTTCAATGAAATGACTCTTAAGGATTTTAAGAATGGGATCATTTTAGGGTTCATAATTGGATACCCAATGTTTTCAAGTCAGGAATATGCTTTAATTTTTGAGAATTGAAGTCAATTTTGAGATTTTAGATGGGTTTTTGGGGAAGGGTTTTTATCTGTGGCGAAAAAGTGAATTTAGGGTCTTAGAGAAATTGGTTTATCCGAGTTTTATGGTAGAATGTCAATGTGATTTTTGGCTAAGAATTAGTTGGAACTTTTATAATTTGTGGAAATTATGGGTTAAACCCATTGCTACATCATGGATTCTTTTTGGTATGAACAACATGTTGAATTGAATGAATTTTGTAGCAGCTGCATTGGTTTTGGTTTTTAGTTTCATGTTATGCTCATTTTAACTTTTCATAACTTTTCGGATCCCAAGGTCAAGGGATTTCTAGTGGTTATTGTATAATTATGTTCTCCTTTTCGTGTAAGTGTATTATGTCTTAGGTTTGTAAATTGCTTATTTACATGTCTTGCTTAAACAAAAGTACCAAATACAATCTTTGCATCAACATAAAAAGAGTAGATAGTTGATAATTGACTTGCAATCAGATTGTGATACATGCATGAAAGGTGAGTTGAAACAATTGCCTTTCATTCATTTTACAACTCATTATGGCATTCTCAGCTTATCTGTGTGTTTCGTATGATTTTCTACACTAGAACTTATAGTATTTTATGATGTATAGGTTAGCTGAAACAATCACAAACAGTAAAAGAAGAGTAAGCAAGGAGAAAAGGGAGAAACTGGAGCTACAGACTTGGTCTGACCTTCCTACAGAACTTTTGGAACTCATTGTGTCTCGTCTAGCTCTGAAGGATAATATTCGTGTATCTGTTGTATGCAAGAGATGGCACTCAGCTGCCATTTCTGTGCGGGTGGTCAACCAGTCACCATTGCTTATGTACTTTCCAAAATTCGGTGACCTGTACGAATTCTATGACCCCTCACAGCGCAAAATCTACTCCTTAGAGTTACCTGAGCTGACTGGGTCTAGGATTTGCTACACCAAAGATGGTTGGCTATTGCTATACAGACCCAGATCGCACCGTGTGTTCTTCTTTAATCCTTTTACTCGCAAGATGATAAAGGTACCAAGATTTGAGTTGACTTATCAGATAGTTGCATTCTCTTGTGCCCCAACTTCTGCCAGCTGCATACTTTTTACAGTAAAACACATCAGTCCCACAATTGTTGCTATTAGCACTTGTCGACCTGGGGAAAGAGAGTGGACTACTGTTAATGTCCAGAATCGTTTGCCCTTTGTGAGTAGCATTTGGAACAAGCTTGTTTTCTGCAATGGACTCTTTTATTGTCTAAGCCTCACCGGTTGGCTAGGGGTGTTCAACCCCCAGGAACGCACTTGGAGTGTTCTTGCTGTTCCTCCACCCAAATGCCCCGAGAACTTTTTTGCCAAAAACTGGTGGAAGGGCAAGTTTATGGCTGAGCATAACAGAGACATATTAGTGATATATACATGTTCTAGTGAAAACCCAATTATATTTAAGCTGGATCAGACGAGGATGGTTTGGGAAGAAATGAAAACCCTTGATGGTGTGACTCTGTTTGCGAGTTTCTTGTCATCTCATTCAAGAACTGACCTCCCCGGAATAATGAGAAACAGTGTCTACTTCTCTAAAGTTCGTTTCTATGGAAGGTGTTGCATATCGTACTCGCTTGACGATTGTAGATACCATCCTCGCAAGCAGTGTCATGACTGGGGAGAGCAAGATCCTTTTAAGAACATTTGGATTGAAGCACCTCAAGACTTCTCAACCTTGAATTGGTAGTGAAACAATTCAGTCTGGAAGTTTATTGGATTTTGTGCTATAGATGGTTTATGTGTAACAAGTTGCTTATTGGGGTCAATTTTACTCCGTAAAGAACTCATTTAATTCTGAACTCTTGTTTCTTTTTTATATGCAAGTCATGTGTAAGTTATAGATAAACTTTTCCAGACATGTACCAACGCTTCATGCTCTGAGTTCTTAAATTTTATCTAATCTCTATGTTTTAACACTTTTTTAGATGCTCAAGATCCATTTCGGCAACGATGGATTTAGCTTCTAATTTCTCTTTTGCTCTGTTTAGTGCACATTCAATAAAATCAAGAACAAAGAGACGCATGGATGGAAGAGTGGAGAACAGGAAGTTTGGGAGGTAAATGATCTAGAATCATCGTTTGCAAGGGCCTCTGACTATTAGTTTGAAACTGTGTCATGCCGTAGTGCCACCCCTCTGCGCATTATGCAATTTACAGAAATAGTAAGGAACATATTTTTCACTCGTGGTGTTTGCTTTTCCAAATCCATTGCTGGTATATTGCTGTTTATAGCATTGCCATCGTTTTTAACAATAGAAATCTGTTTATGATGTGATTATACTTGTCTGACTGAAACTCAAACAAGATGAAGATAAAAAATTTGTGATGCAGCCCGACTGAACTTGAATCTTAAGACTCTTGATTGACGTGCAATTTAATTTAAAAAGCATCAATTTCATAATTTAATTAAACTTAGTTTAGGCAAACTACATGTGAATCGGTCTGAAGCAACTCTTTCTATGACATGACCAGCTACATATGTTTAGTTCTAATGAGCTGCACAGCTCCAAATGTATGCTCACAGACCCAAAATACTGTCTTCTCCTTTCCCTTTCCAAGCAAGGCAAACCTCACTAATTAATAAGGGTTATAGCGACTGCGGCCACGATTGCTGTCACCACTGCGCCTTCCACCACTTGAGCTGCCACCACCACTTCTTCCACCTCTAGACTGCGGTGGAGGGGAGTGTGGTTGCATTCCGGGTTGTTGCCTAGGGAAAGAAATGCAGAAGTTCAACTTCGGATGCATAGTAAATATGAAATAAAAACAAACAGTGCAAATGCAAGAGCCTTTGTAATGAAGATACAACTAACATTTCAAAGGGGGTAAATATGGTTGTTGATGAACAAATAAATGCTGAAAATTTTCTAATGAGACAATACATGCAACCAATAATTGGGCAACTAACAAATTCCAAAAAGTGATACTTACAGGACATATCCAATCCTTCCATCGGGCAAAAGCATAGGCATCATTGCCATGCCAGCAGGAGTTGGTCCCCTACCATAGATCAGTGGCTGCAAGAAATTGGAGCCTATATCACCAAAAGTATCCAGAGAAAACTAAAAGCAGACAATTTGCTATAAATCAAGTATCTAAGAAGCATCCTAAATAAGCATTTTCCTTATAGTTTATGTTTTGTCAATATTGTTAAATATATAAAAATTCTTTTGATTTGTGATTAACATTTTAATAATACATGAAAAATGCAGGGTCTTGGTATATTTTGTCATCAGATTTAAAAGTATGTCCTACATAATAAATTATTTATTTCTTTGTTTGTTTCATTTAATAAGATGGTTTCCTTGGTGACTCCTTTTTATTTTCCAGATTGCTAATTGGCACACATGCTGTCAACGGAACCTGGAAATAATTTTCTACTTAAAAGGAAGTGACATTAGGCCCAAAGGCCATCTAAAACATTCTTTTGGCTGGTAACAGATTCATTACAGACACAGGTTATGGACTGTGAACTTTAGGTGCTGAGGGAGAAAAATAACATGTTCCGACTATGTATGATTGGGTTGTGTTGGGATTATCAGCAGGTCCTGCATGCTCCCTTTAGAAAAACAACTAAAACCCCCTTAGCTAATACAAGGTTAGTAAGACTAGGGCCACACCTTGCTAGTTCTAGGTACAAGGGACTCCAACTGGACCCATATTTGTCTATTCAATGCCATGATAAAACCATAATTTAAATCTTACTTGGGCAAACCCTGCACCACCACCATATCCAGCACTCAATCCACCATATGGACTACTCCCTCCCATGCCATAACTGAGACGTGGTGGGTAGGTTGGAAGTAAGGGCGACTTCTGATGATTTGATGATCCAGAAGACTTCTGATCTGCTTGTGGCTTTGCAAGAGAGCATTCCAAAACTTGACCTATGAAACAGAGAAGATTATGAATTAAGATTTTCTCCTGAAAACTGATTAACTATAGAGGATAGTGGAGAGCTACAAAGAGCATGAGCAAGTTACCATCAATTTCATATTTTTCAGTGTTCTTCAATGCCTTCATTGCACATGCCCTTTCCGCAAAGTGTACAAAACCAAATCTGCTCTTTTCATGTCCCGCTTTTGCAGGGGGGAGAACCACCTTTGTGATCTTTCCATGACGTTCAAACAGCTCCTTTAGACTCTCCTGAGTAATGTCTTTTGGTAAATTCTTGACATACACAGCTTTCACCTGTATCAATCAAAACAAAGATGTCATGACTCGACCAACATCCACAAGTGCATGAAATAATTCAAAGGCCAAACAATTTTACACACGTAAGGTTGCAACATGAAAGTACGAGGTCTGATGTGGTGGAGATCATGGGATGGAGTACTCAGATACAAAAAAACAAAACAAAACAAAATAAAAAAACAAACATTATGAGTACAGCCAACAGATGGGAAAGATAATTCGAAACAGTGATAAAATGCTTAGGCAACATCCATTGCATCCCTCAGTAAAAAATAAGAAATGAACAACAGAAAAGGAAAAGAGAGCCAGAGCAGAACTATATAATAGCTTATCTGAGTGTAGCAAAAAGCATGAATAACCAACCTGAGAAGCAGCAGAGGATTCTGTATTTTTAGGATCAGCCCAGCTCACAGTAGGAGCATTGGTGTCGAGCTTAAATTTTGGGCTTGACATCTTTTGTCTTGAATATTCTGCACATGCATGATTATAATACTCAATGAAAGCAAATCCACGATTCCGGCTGGAGTTCTGTGGGTCCTGTATCAAGAAGATTCAACCGAAAAGAGAACTACATCAAGATACAAGGAAAATCCATCAAGAAAATAGCACAATAGTGAATTTGGAAATGATAGGAAACAGAGGTTAACCAAAATGAAAAATAGAACATAAAATACATAAGCTAAATAGAAGATTATAGAATATATCTTTAACCTTCAACAGTTCCACAGAAATGACTCCTGGTCCAATATCTGTTACAGCCTTCTTCATATCCTCCTCTCCCCAATTTCTGGGAACATTTCCAATAAACAACCGATGCTTTGCTTGAGATGTAGAACATTTAATCCTTTTTCCCTGGAAAAAGAGCCAGCAGAGAAGTTAATGTTACATGAAACTAAAACCTCAGTTTTCATAAAAAGGATTTAAGTAATAGATCTCAAAAGGAAAGGCGCGAATGTAAGTGGATGTGTAAATTAGCAGAACCACAACCCTGAGTTGATAATTAACAGTAGCAATAATTGGGGAAGATAAGTGACCAAAAGTTAGTTGAGCTCACCTTCAACTCAGAATTATTCAGTTCCTCAATGGCCTTAGAAGCCAACTCCTTGTTTCTGAAGGTAACAAAAGCATAACCTTTGGCCTCCCCTGAATCTTTTCCCTTCATTATTCTAACCTGTTGACATATATAGATTAGTCCGTCTACATATAAAAGGTGCAGAGAGAGCTTTAGAATCAACAATATATATTACCTCAGTAACTTCCCCAATAGATTCACAAAATCCCCTCAAATCCTCTTCAGATGCATCATGAGGAATGCCACCAAGATACACCTCTGATCCATGCGGAGGGCGTGCAAGAAGCTCCGCATGCTTCTTTTTTTCTTCTTCCTCCTCTCCGTCAGCAACTGCCATCACTTCATCACCATCTGAGCTTTTCTGTCCATTAGATTTTGTAGCAGCTCCCTTGTTTTCTCCCTCTTCCTCACCCTCTTCTGGATCTTCTTCTTCCTCTTCTTCTTCTTCCTCTTCCTCTTCCACCTCTTCCACTTCCTCCTCTTCCTCTACTTCTTCATACTCGACCTCTTCTTCTATTGTTTCCTCAGGATCATTGTCTCCATCAAGGTCCACCCGCTCTTCAGATTCTAATGGTCTTTCAGATGCATCTCCAGAAGCATTCGCCCTTGTTTTCGGCATCTTATATATCTAGAAAAACAAGCTTGCAAGGCAACTGTGAAGAAAGCACAGTAGCCAGAAGCATTCATAGAAGAAAGAATACAGATACGGAAAGGTGGAAACAACATGAGAGGCCAAACGAAGTTGCAGATTAAGAATTTCGAATGAATCTGTGCCATGAGGTATGGATTCAAGGACTTGCAAAGTCAATGATTTCAATTAAGGGGTCATTTTATTGTAAAAATAGTAACAGAGACAGGCAACAGAAGAATTCTGCATGATTATCAAGAGGGTGATGATGCTCAGCAGGCGAAATAAACAAAGAAGCAGTGAATTTCTCGAATATCTAGATATCGACATTCGACAGTAAATGGATGGTGTAATTGTTTAACTATCTATCTGGAGAGTTTCATGCACAAAGAGGAGGAAAGAAAAGGGAAAAAAAAACATGAATAAGAAATCAAACAACATATATTTGAAATCATAGAAATGATAACATATTATACATCACATATGAAGCAGTAAATTCATGGTACCTAGCTTATTAATCTTTTCGGACAATCTTTGAATCCTAAGAGGCTGACATATGACTAACTCCCTGTAAACCAACATATTAGTGCCAATGCACGCGTAGAAGCATTGAATGGTTGAACTCTACCATCCCCTTCCTTCGAAAATTGAAAATGTTTTATATTGAAACTTGAGAAAATGGTAAAACTCAATCCCAGCCAATTAAAAACAACTAAATGCCTCAAACTCTGGACTTTCAAAAGAATACCAACCAACCACCCCAAAAGTCACCCTATTTCCCCAAAACCTAGCCAACCCATCTGACATTTGAATGGTTTTGAGTCGTTCCTCTTCTGGTAAAAATCTTTTCTTTAAGATTCTCTCTGACACATAAACCAGAACGTTTGCACTTGCACTGTTTCCACAGAGAAATAACACTACCCAAGTAAATAAAAACGAAAGCAGGAATACGAATATTTCTACGGGAAAAAGCAAAAATCAAATCTTTGAGAACAATAACCCAATTGAAAACAATGTACAGTTTGATAGAGAGGAAGTACCTAAGTCAGGTGCTGCGAATAATTTCTCAACTAAGGAATAATTTGTTCAATATCGGAACCCTAATTCAGTGCTCGGAGCTGTACTTAGCTCGAACCCAACGAACGAAAAGGAATCGCTTCTTGTGCATTTGAGTCGTCTTGCGAATTTCTGACATAGAGAGAGTTTCGACATGTACTTGGGCTTCGTAATCTTTAATCCTGGGCTGTAACTATGGGCTTTGGCCCAGGACGACTTATGGGCCTACGGGCCATTAGATTTTTTATATATTATAAACTATTTTGACGTACGAGGAGTGGATGTAAGAAAGACCGGCACACTACCTTGGTCAACTAGCTTAACTCACATCTGCCATTAAATCATAGGTATGGTGAACAGAATATTTGGCCCAAGGAATCAATGCTTGTAAATATATTGACGTCTTTATCACAAAAGATCTCCATATTATTAATAGTGAAACCATTCACTTATATATTGTATTTTATTTTATCGAGTGGCTCAATGTGGTATCGTTACATTCTTCGACATTTCCACAAACTACCTTTTCCTACCATTTTGGTATTCAGATTATTGCAATTTAAGGCATGGCGGTAAATGAAGTCGAAGCAATTAGGGTCAAAATATTAAATCAGCTAAACATGAAAAGAAAAAAAAATTCGACACAGCATATCTCGTGGATGATAGATAGATTACATGAAGTTAAGGCCTCGAGTGAAAATAGACTGCAGGTTCATTCAAAAAGGGTTAAATATTTGAGACTTGTGCATATGTCAAATAACTAAGATCTTAATCACTTCACTACCATAAAATTCGAGAAATTGCCAGAGACAGCATTAAAACTACATAACAAGTGTTTAAAATGCAAGCACTTTCTGTTCAAAACCCCATGAGGATGTAACTTGTAAGCACTTTCGCGTTTGCGCTGCAATCTTGTTGCAACTCAAATGAACAAGTGTTTAAAATCCCCGTTTGCAAGCTGACAGAGCTGATTGTAAGTAGTTGTGTCTGTCAACAGGTTAAGAAAATATGGAAGTATATCAGAACCAGCAAAAGAGTATGTAAAAATTTTCAAACTACCAAACACTAAAAGCACTGTCAAATAGAATTTGCCACCAATAAGTTGAACGCTAACACACAAGAAGATCTGTGAAGGGACAAGCAGAACATAAGAACCGAAGAAGGGTTAGTTAGATTCTCAATTTCTTAATGATTTGAACTACTATGGAATACAGTTCTTATTGGTTTCTAATTATAGAACACCTGTATTCAATAAAACAGCTTTTGGGACACTAAAGTACTGCAAGCATTACAAAGAAGTTTCATGCAAACAAGTTTGAACAACTAGCACATCCTGTGATTTAACGGGAACTCGCTTTCAATGGTTATGTTGATGATGCGGTTTAAGCTTCAGTGTCTCTCTTAAAAATTTAATGGACATTAATGTATCTTGGAGATCCTCAAAGTGTCAATAAACTAAACTGTTTCCCGGCAACTTTTGATACTTCCAGAAAACAATAAACTGAAGTCATTTATATAGATTCAGCTCCTCCCTCCCAATCCAAGCAAAATAACCTTCGAATATTAAAAATTATATAATTACTGTGAACCACTATTAGGTAGGAATTGGAAAAGGGTTGGGGGGGAAGGCATACCAATTGTCTCTCCAAAGTTGTTCCATATGTCAGCATGGATGGATTTTTCACCATCAGCAATGCCTATGACCTCAACAAATTTTGTAAGAGGAAAGGGTGGGGAGCCCTTTACAACTAGCTGGTTTTCATCAGTAGATTTTCCAATGACAGTTCCACCCTCGGTTCGCACAACCTGAATCAGTGCCCGAACCCGCCTTCCAACATACAATCGCAGAAGCTCTGCATTGACAAAAACTGCAGGATTAGAGGTATCCATATCCTGCAAAACAAATAAAAAAGTTAACTTGGTTAGAAACTCTTCATAAACTTTTGATTGATAATAAAGCAAAGCTATCAAGCTCAAACTACTTAACTGCTACCCAAAAATAAATAATAATAATAAACCATGTAGCATACATAATGTAAAATTATCCCCAAATTAAAAAAATTCGTATCGGTCCCTAATTACATGGTGTAGTGGAGAAAACTAATTACAGAGATACTAGAAAGTAGTTGAAACCATGTTGCAAACTAATCAACAGTAAACAATGCTGTTACTGCATTTCTTGTACAATTTCAAAAAATTCCTTGACTGTAATAGGCTTTTTGAAATTCTTCTTACCTTGTCTCTCTCATGAGAATGGTTATGGAAATTATTAGGTTTTTCACATTAAATAATCCTGGGTAAACTCTAATCTAGAGAAGTGGAAAGCATCTAAAATCCTCTCCATGGAAAAGTTTCACTGAATTTTGGTAATCAATATGCAATTATTCTAAAAGTAAAACTCAGATCAAGAACATCAACAAACTTCTCAAACAAAATTCATCAAAACATAGAGCAAAATGAGCGCAAGAAGTAAGTACTTGAACTACAATCTGAATCGAACTTAACTTCTAAGCGAAATCCGAACCGAAAATAAAAAGGACAACTAAACGAAAAGGCACATTCAATTTTGACTGAGAAACCAAAATTGAAAATGAAATTATATTTCTCTTTCAGCAGTTTCTCCATAGCAGCGAAACGATGCGTTTGAAATTTGAGAAAGAAGAAAACAAGCGATTCGAGATCTTACTTGATGATCGGACAGATCGCCGGAGAACGGAGTCGAAAGCAGAAACTTGTTTTCGAATGTTGAGCGAGAGAGAAAGAGCGGGTTCCAATGGCGGCAAAAATGAAAATTGAGAGGGTTTTCTGTGAGTGTGTAGGGGTTTTTATTTGAGCGACTGTACCGCCAATCACCAGACACGTGGATTTAATTTCTGAAAACAAAAATTGCAAAAAGAAACTGAAAGACGCAGGGTGCTAACGTGAGGGACAGAATTTAAGGAGCTGTGAGCAACTATTTATTCACAACCGTAGGATTATGCTGGGCTAAATCCAACGGCTTAAAATATGTGATAGATTAGAACCAATAAGCCTTTTTGAGTGGACAATCAGTTTGGTTTGATCAGAACCAATGAGCAAATAGTTTGGTTTGATTAAAGAGATCAGATATGGGCCGAATTAGCATGTGTCCAACAAGACCACTACAATTAAAAGCTCAAATAAATTGAAACCAATACAAAAAGTTAAGGTTGAAGCAATTGTTAAACAATTAACAAAGCTGCCATGTCAAATTTTGTGTGTAAATGTATAGTTGTATTTGGGTAATGATTTCCCCACTCTCATTTTATCCACTTACACTCTTTTTTTAATTATAAAATGGAGTGTAAGTGGATAAAATTAGAGTGGGGAAATCACCACTCTTGTATTTAAGTGGAAAGTTTTAGATTTTAGCAATTTTGCATTGGATTCAATCAAAATTATCAATAAAAGAAATTTATATTACTTTTTATTTTTTGTTCTTATGACCATTGTGTAATGTTTGTTTAGAAGAATTTGTTTCATAGGGAGTTCCAGTATGGCCACCCTTCCACACAAAAGTGAGATGGGAACTGGGCACACATGGTAGGGCTTGATTCAGTGTGATTTGGTTCGGGTTTGAGCCTAAATCGCCCACATAATCGAAGACCTTGGTGGAGGAAATCTCAATATCAACACTAAACCACCACATCGAACAATCAACGTCGTCGGTTCATCGAATGAACAGTTTGTTTTGGTTTAGTTTCGGTTTGTTTTGGTTTAGTTTCGATTTACTTACTAGTTATACAATTATATCACAAGTGAAGTTGTTACCAGAATGGGGTGGACTTGGAAGTAAAGGTTGGAGGTTTGAGTTTTGAATCCCCTTGCCTCTAGCTTTTGTAAATATCTAATGGGTAAATTTCACTTTATTACTCCCAAGTTTACTGAAAGTTTAAGGTTTGAGTCAGACTAATGAATTTATGAAAGTGGTAAGAAAATCAAATTTTGGGTACAAAGTTGACATGAAAAGGAGGGTGCTAAGAATTTGAAGAAAATGGTTTATAGTTTATTTACCCCATCAATCAACTCGAATTGAAGCAGGACATGACATTGAGATGAACTCCCCTGCAACAATTGTCTTTAAGAAGAGAACCAGAAGGCCCAAGCCCTCTTATTCCCCTTGAGCATTATCTCAAGTGGTTTAAATCTCCTTGCAATCAAGAAAGGAAAGACAGAAATGAAGACAAGGAGAGGTTTATTTATTTATTTAATTTTCGAAGAATTTATTTGTGTAATAGCATTAAAACCTTAGTTTTATGTTGATCGATGCAGTTTGACATTTCTATTGGATGGATGAGATTTTACCTAATCATGATCACCTTTGAGCATATATTTTGTGGGTGGCAATGCCTACAAATTGACTAGTTGCCACTTGCAAGAGCTAAAGGATAAAACCTTTTCCTCAAACAATAATCCTATGGTGGTTTTGACCAAGTTGAAGGTATAAGATAGATTACTCGTGAAGAAAACGTATCATATCTAATCCCCATAAAATGGTAAGATAACAACACTTTATAACTAATTCCTCTTAATCCTCCCAAAATGGAAAATCATTCAATTCTATCTTTATTTTCTCCTTCAATATATCTAAGATTTAGTGACTTATCCAATCCAAGGTGCCAAATCCCCTAATATTTAAAAAAAAAATCCAAATTTTTAGTGATTAATTGTCTTATTAATAAATGAAACATTACTCTCAATATTGCACGGCCAAAAGAAAAAAACAAGAA